CCGTGCACTCGCAGTTTCCAGAACACGTCCAGTGCGTTCCTGAACTGTGACTGGTAGCGAGGGCTTTGCAGCAAGGTCTGCATTCGCTCGAAAGGACACAGCAATGCCTCAGTAGTACCAGCCAGAAACGCGGCACCTCCACTGCACGGCAATGGCATCCACGTTCCGTCATGGCAATGAAACAGTTTACAATATTCATCGTACATCCCGAACATCAGGCACCTGAAACGACGCGAACATTCTCGAGTACATCGTAGATTAGAAACCGATCGGACCGACACACGAACTGCTGACTGTTTCGCTACTAATTAGGTGTAGTACTGCTCTAATACAGGTCTGATTTCAAGGCCACTACTCAGCACGGCCGTATTCAACTCTAATGCCTATTCTGTACTCCACAGCCAGCAATGAGCTACATGTACGTCGGCATGATGGGGCGAAGTATGGCAAAGTGAGCTCTCCCTATAACTGCAATGTTGGTCTGAAAATTTCATGTCAGTCCTCAGGATGTGCCGATTCCCTGCTAACTATAGGCCTATCCCTCCTTGATGTGGCCTAATGGTATTAGCAGAAATTCGTACTCGGTGTCTGCAGCTAGCAAAGATGCAGCATGCGATCATCCAGGCAGACGGGAGTTGAAGAGTATAAATTGTGCGTAACAATCGTGATAATCGAAGAACTTGACTAAAATCGGATATAAGATGACATGGCTTCGTCATGTTCGTGGAACACTGCTGGTGAAGGTAGAAACTTCTGGCTTAATCCTGACAAATCTGAACATCTAACACCGCTTCATGGCAAACCTGAAAACCAAAGTGTGGTATATCAAAAGGGTAAGAAAAAGTTTCTGAAAAGTAATGAGTTCGCAAAAGAAAACGAAGTAGGAACTTATCTTTTCCAGAAAATTACCTCGCACTGAAGCTATTTTCTTTAGCTAATAACTTGAACGCCAAGTCTCAGAGGTATCAAAGCATACGGATGCTCTCAGAAAAACCGTAAAACAAATTTAAAGCTTCACAAGCACGACTTTCAAGAAACCTTCTTCGACGAGCGATTTGAACATGTTACCGCCTAGAATCGCAACCCGTACATACGGGTATCGACTAAACTCACAGTTCAGTCGGAGTTCGTCACAGCATTACTGCCTAAGCACGAAATAAACTTAAACCCGCAGCAAACATTGTTAAGGCTTAAGGTTCGACATTGCGATAATGCCGCAAAAACGAGACATTATCGATTATGACTAAAGTGCGAATCAGTTTCAGGCGATACCGGAACCGAAATGAACAAACAACTACTTCGCACAACAGCATACACATGTGAAAGACTTAAGCGAAACAATACATAATTTACGTTATAAATTTAAGGCCGTCGTAGTAGCAGTAAGTTATTGTGCAGCGAAAGACATAACTAATTAATTACGGTTCAAAGGCCAATCTTCACTTTCAAAACATTTTGAAAAGTGACTGTATCTCTAGCAAACAGGAAGACCCGGGAGCAGCATTTGAGCTGCAAACTGAACCAGGAACTGGCACACTACTGAAATGTAACTGTGCTGGAAGTGTTGTTTTCTGTTTCCTGCTTTTTCACCTCGTGGGCTGGAAGGCCGTCTAAATCCGGTCGTCTTTCCCTGAACGAGCGCAAATACAGAACAGTGAATGCACCAGATGAAGGAGGTACATTGCCCGTATTCCGTGCTCATCCAACAAGATCTGAAGCATAATGGAGATCGGTGGTGCCTAAGATCGTGCGCACCCTTGTCAATGCAGCAGTTGCTCTATCAATAAAATCTGCTATCGATGTTTATCAAAATCTACACTAGATTAATCTAAACTAGTTTAATCCGAAAAACTTGCGTAAACTAGTTGAGTACATCTTTTACACACCTGTTGTTTATGGACCTTTATGGGCAAGATGCCGAAACTTGACATTTCCTTTTAAGCACAAAAAAGTAAACACGTTCAATTCGAATTTGAAACTGCGTCAGGAACGAAAACTACGTGAACCGAACTTGATCCGCTTACAGATCATAAAACAGTAATCAAATATTCTGTGATCCTACGACGAGAGATGGCGCAGCAGAGTAATAAGCAGGCATCGAGCTTACTTCTGCGTGCTGTCACCGCGTAAGGAACGAACCAACGAAATCTTAGGTTTCTGTCAT